TGATTTTCTGTTTGATCACAGATTAGGATAACTAAGAAAGGAGAACCCCTGCAGAACTGTATATATCTCAATATTTATATTGCAGTTTGTTTCGAACCAAGTAGGAGAGTGGGTATTTCTTTTCTGGAATTGCAATCTTGGCATTGACAGGATATAGTCACTCAAACACTTCCAGTAATGCTTATTTAGTGTTTGCATTGTGGTGGCACGTGTCCAGAAGAGAGAGCAAAGGAAAACAATAAGTTGCCTGCTCAAGAGCTGACATCATAGTGTGAAATTTAAGTACTTGTTTTTGTGGTATTGTTATTAATCATGGGTCTGTGCAGAGGTCATCCTGTAATTCCAGCTACTGGAGTCCTGTGAATACAGTGCTTGGCCTGAGAGTTTTCCTAGGGTTGCCTTTCATCTTCAAGTCTCCTGTATATCAAACACACCAGAAGAACACAGCTCCAATTTGTCTTAAGCTTAACAAAAAATGTGTTTCTTGTGTTGTAATTCCTGAATTTGTTGTCTGTTTTATTAGCAATACATTTCATAGGAAGATTTGGGACCACTCAAGCATTTTATCTGTGAATAAGATTTCCTTGTCTTATTTTACAGTTGCTTATTAGATGTTCCTACAAAGCTTTTTTTTTTCATTGTGGCATTATTTGGGGCTTCAGTTAGAAAAGTCAAAGAGGTGGACCTGGCAACCTTTCCACTTGCTTCCACAGGTGGACAGGTCCACCTGTTCACCGCTGATGTAACCAGGAATGATGATGTATTTGATGAGGGTTAGCTTGGATTTTGTGTTCCAGGCCTTCTTATGCTCTTCAGCTGGAGACAAATGTACAGAACACAGGCAAGGAGAAATCTCTGTGGCACAGAGGCTGTGATTTCTCCTCCCTAGCTATCACATACAGCACTAACATGGTGCTTGCCTTCAGGAGCCTTCAAATGCCCAGTTTGAAGCTGCTGGCCTGGCACAGTAAGACACAATATGTGACTGGTTGTGAGAGTACCTTGGAACAAATGGCATTTTCATCTAGCTTTTCTCCCAAACCCGAGTTCAGTGAAGAAAATTTTTTCTGGTGGAAAGGCTGGAGTGTTCCTACGCCCATTCCAAATACACATTTATTCACTTGTCTTTCTTGAAAAAGGTGTCAGTGGTTCTTTAGATCTGTTTCTGTAGATTAGGTTTACATCCCTAAAAACCAACTCTCATTAAATTATCACATAAAATCAAACCTCCAACCTCACCAATGTGTTTGCAGAACAATATTCAAACTGTCCCAAGGACAACTGCTTATACCATCACTTCTGGGCAGTGCCTAGAGCCTCAAGACCTTAGGACCCACTGCAGTTTTGTCTGCTTGCTTTATGTGTGGTTTGGAGGCTTTATAATCCTCTGTCTTTTTGAAGGTAAAAGTTAAACACCATAAACATTCAAGTTGATTTATATGGGAGGTTTGCTTTTGTAACTCATTCCTTCTGTTCTTGTGTGACTCCTGGATCTATAGTCCAGAAGCACAGAGAAGGGGAATATTGTGTGAGTATCAAAGTGATCAGTAAAGCTGTTAGTGAAGGTCTTCACTGGTCCAGCCCCTGAGAGGTCCAAAGGCTGTGCAAAACAACCCCAAAAATGTCTGGACCAGTGCTCCCTGGGACTGTGTAGGACTAGTGGGACCTGCTCCCACTGACAGCAAAACAGGACTGCCCTGAGGACTGAGCTGGTGTCTCCAAATAAAATCTCTGTGTTGGGGCAATGACACCACCCACATTAAAAGGTTGGTCAGTCACAAGCAGTGGGGCCAGAGACAGACATGCAAAAATGTCTTCAAAGCACACCAGGGTGAGCACCATAAATTGTGTGAATAAAATGCATTTCCCAAGAGCCAAAGTCATAACTTCCCATGGCTTCCCAGAGCAAATCCTGTCTGCTCTATTTATTAGGTGGGACTGTGTATAGGCAGTCACTCTAAGTGTGTTTATTTTGAACTCATCAGTTGTTCAGTAATCTCAGGCAGCTCTGGGAGATTTAACTCAGATAGAGGATTAGGCTGGGGGTCGTGGGGTCAGTGATATTAAGATAGAGAGAAGGGAAGGAAACAGCGTTGTTTTTGTGGCATTATCTGAACAGTAAGGAAAAATAAATTCGGGTTTTAAGCTGGCTTTAACCTGACTCTGAAGGAAATGGTCTACAAATCCAGCCAGGAAGCAGGCAACTGTGATGAGACCCCGCTTCTCTTTAAATTTGTTTTCAGCCACACAACCAAAATCCATGGTGGTTATGGCTTCTCTAGAAATTGGTTAATTACAGCTTTCCTTTAGCATGTCCAAGTGTTAAAGTTTCTGATATTAATTTTCCTCCTAAAATAACATCTCTGGAGTTGCTTTTGTGGCAGAAGTTTGAACCCAGTGCTGAGCTCCCCACAGTGACAGCAGCGTGCTGGATGGGTTCAGCTGGTGGCCAGCATCACCTCTAGGTCCCAAAGCTGCTCTGAGGCAGAAAGCAGAGAAATTAATGTCCTGGCACCAATGAAATCATGGGGGAGCCATCTGCCAAAAACTGCAAAATAACTCATTCTCTCTCATTTGGAATCTTTGGTGTCTTATAAGAAGTGAACTCGTATAGTGAACTTCACTGCAGACTGATTTTTGAGGAACACATGGACAATTTTCTTCAAGATCTCTAATCCCCTGTAAATGTGGCTGAAATAATACAATGGGTTCCAAACTTATTCACAGGAGAAAGACCCACATCATTAATGCACAGGACTGGTTTCCCCAGAATAAGAAAAAAAAAAAAAAAAAAAAAATAGAGAGGGAAAGGCATTGGGAGTAAAGTAAGTAAGGATTTGTTTATTGCCTTCTTAATATTTTATCATAAAACACACAGTCTTGCCTCAGGGCTTGGTGGTGGTTTGTATATATGTGTGTGCCTGTGTGTATACATATTTTTGTATATAAAAATCCAGTAACATCCATTGTTTAAAAAATCAAAAATTAGAAGGATTTTGCTAAAAGCATTTTGGGAAAACCTCTGCTTTCATTTTTCCTGTCAGTGTTTTTCTAAGCTTTTATTTTTATTAGTCAAAATGTTTAGAATCCCCAGGAAATCCTGGGATGAACCATTTCCTCTTCGAGCTGTAGCCCTTAGGGGAAAAAGAAAAAGCTCAGATCCTTTCAAACGTTAGAAATTTTTCAAACTGTGTTTTTTGCATATTTTTTAAATTAGAGAAAAACTAAGTTAGGAAGATGCTTAACTTCAAGCTGTGGTCCTGGGAAAGCTTGATCTCTTTGTAGAAAAGCCTGAAGAGACCCTTAGATCTGAGCAAGGAAATCTTTTAGGCTTTGCTCTTAATGGGGAACTGATTGCCAAATTGAGGTATAACAGGTTCAGTTGAAAGACCATCTTTTTCATTTTTTTAAAGCAAATTAAAAGCTAGCATTTGCTTTTCCTCAACCCAAATTGTGTATGTTACTTAGCATGCAACAGCTTTTTATTGAGGCTGTTAGTGCCCTGAAGATCCGTTGTTATTATTAATATTACTAACATTATCAATGTTATTATTAATAATTAAATATCCAATACTTTTTTATATACATGAGATTTTGCAACTTCCTCTCCTTCACCTTCAGATAAATTTATGGGAATCACAATTTTAAACTAAGAAAAACTTCCATCCTGCAAATACATATGTAAATTGCTGATTTTAAACTCCTCTTGGGTTCAGTCCTTGAAGTGGGCTCAGTTGCTAAAATTTAAGAAGGTAAGAATTCAGGTCCCAGACTGGAGCTCAGCAGGGATTACTTTGCCCAGATTTTGAGATGATTGTTATTCTCTGGGAAGGATGGGGCACTGCTGTTATAAATGAGAAAAGCTTACAGAGTGGTGAAATATGAGACTGAGGAGTGCAGGAGTCTTTTCATGAAAAATGACACATCAATGTAATTTTTCAGAAGTCTGAATTCACAGTGGCCACATTCCACTTTATTTTAGGAAAAGTGTGTTTGTTTATTTATATAGTTTATGACAAAAGCCTTCACTGCTGTTCATCTGATTTATTCATTTACTTTTTATCAAGTTTCTTCAGAAGGTTCTTGGAAAGAAGAAGATGTAAACCCAGACTTGGTGGTTCAATAACTGGTATTTATTACTCCCCCAGTCTGTCACAAATCTAAAAAGATTTTTGGTACTTCATGTGAAATGTAGTGGTCCTTTTTTAATTTGGTTTTATTTGATTTTTTTGTTGGGGAGGCGTGGGGGGGGGTTGTTTGTTTGCTTGGGTTTTTTAAGGCTTTGTTTGGTAATTCAAGGGAAAAAAATCTAATATTTAAGGACTTTTTTTTTGGTTACCCAAAATTACACAGTAAATAGTGCTTCTGCTTTTTTGGGTTTTTTTTCAGGTTTGGGTTGAGGATATTGAACCAGTCTGCTGGGACAATGTTAGAGATCTGTTTGTTCTCACTTTGCAAATGGGTGGGTGAAGGAAGAAAGACAAAAGGAGGGAGACTAATAATGAATTTCCTGAAGTTTCTGTTATTATAAGTGTGCACAAAGTTCCAATACAACACCTTTGATTTCAGAAGTTCAGAAGATTTTGAATTTTTTCTCAAAAACCTGTCAACTGAGTTTGGGCCTTGGATTTAAGCTAGGATACAGAAAACAACCACAGGCACTAGACCTTTCCTCATTTAGGGGAGTTTCCATTGCAGTGTCTGTCAGGAAGCAAATTAACAAGCACAGAGGGCCTAAGAGTTTTGAGACTCTGACCTCTGAGCAATATGTATCTGTTGTGAAGTTATACTCCATGGAGAATATTATGGGGTCTTGCACCTGAATGCTTTTCCATTTGGGAATGCCTAAAGACCATCCCTTGTTACTGTGCGCCAGAATGGATAAAGGGAATAGACTTCGGGTGCAGGAAAGTCTTTCAAAGTTTTGTCCTTTAGTCTTTGTTGTTTTGATTCCTCCTGTCTTTAACTTTTTCTCTGTTTTCCTGCCTGTGTTTCTGCAGGTGCTGTTTGCTCTAAACCAGACTCTGCTGCAACACGAAAGCCTCCGAGCAGGGAGTTTGCAGGCCCCTTACACCACTGAGGATCTCATCAAGCACTACAACTGTGGAGACCTGAATGCTGTGATATTCAACCATGACACTTCTCAGGTGAGCGGAATTGTTCCAGATGGGCCAGAGAATTGAGGAAAAATCAGCTGCTTCAATAGCAATATCCCAGTCATCACTTCATATTCTGATCCCTCTTTCCCCTCTTCCTTTTAATGCCCTGTGTTTTCTTTCCGCACGTGCCTCATTTGCCTGGTGAGAGAGTGGAATTTCCCTGGTTTTGCTCAGGCTCTGGGGAACCATAGAATGGTTTAGGTTCAAAAAGACCTCCAAGATCATTGAGTTAACTGCTAAGCCAGCACTGCCAAGTCCACAGCTAAACCGTGTGCCCAAGCACCACATCCACACATCTTTTAAATACCTCCTGGGATGGTGTCTCCAACACTTCTCTGAGCAGCCTGTTCCAATGCTTGACAGCCCTTCTGATGAATAAATTTTTCCTAATGTCCAATCCAAACCTCCCCCAGTGCCACTCGAGGCTGTTTCATCTTGTCCTATTGCTTGTTACTAGGAACAAGGAATGGACTGCCTGGAAAACTTTCCAAGGGATGTTCTTGAAAAAAGGTTAATTCTGGTTTGGGACTGTTGAATGCAGTCTCCTCATTAAGGGTGGAGGGGGAATCTTTGTAATGTTTGAGCATATATATGAAGAGGAAGTGGACCTTATGTAAATACTCTGTAAAGTAAATAACCTCTCAAACATGTCATAATTCAATAATTCTGTGTGTGTCTCATACAGCCCTTCAGTCTCTGTTTATCTTAGTTATCCAAAGCTATTAAAAACTCTCAAGGGAGCAGAAATCTGCTTTCCAGACCAGTTCGATGCTTCATGGCAAACTGAGATTCCTCTTTCTCCTTTCCAGTTAATTCTATGAAAACTTGGTCTTTGGATGTCATCTCCAACATCTCCTTTTTTTGGGATCAGTATTCCGAGATTCCAGTCTCAGGTGCAGTGATTCACTTGAGGCAAACCTGTGCAAATTTGACAGCCACACTATTGTATGTTTCTTGCTAGTGAAAGAATTAAATCATGATAGCAGTCCATGATAGCAAATGCAAATCAAGGAGAGCTGTGTGACTTCCAGAGAGAACTGAGACAAGGTAAGGTCAGTCTGCAGATTGGGGCAGAGGTCTCTCAGACATTTTTATCTTGCCATCACTATCTTGGGTTGCACAGGCCTATGTGGGTCACTTGTTTCTCAGCAGAACAGCTGGGCAAGCAAGTGGGGCCTCAACATAGGATAAAACCCCTTTGGTGTCCCAGTTAACTCAGACCTAGAAAATGAAGCATTGTTTTAGCATGACTGAGCAGGACATACCAGAGTGGTTGGTGTGGCAGCAGTGAAACACAAGAGTGTGTCATACCAAAGCTGCCAGAGCTGTTCATTGTGGTCAGCTTTGCACTGAAAAGTGAGGGGAGGAAGCAACTTGGGTAGGAATATGTCTTTAAAGATGGGGAATATGAATTAGAAAAGGTGGACAACTCATGACTTTAGAGGTTCCTAGAGAAATCAGTGATTATAACTATTCCTGAAATGTTGAGACACAGCACACATGATAAACAAGGAATTAACAAGCAAGATGTAGTGGAATATTTGCCATGGATGCTATGAAAGGACTGCTGGTAGTCAAACCCATGAAGACAGCCCTGGTGTTACCTTTTAATCTCTGTAATTTCTCTTAATAAGTAAAGCCTTTGTCCCTAAGATGAGTTGTGGTCATTCATAGCAGTTGCATGGACTCACAGACACCTCTGATTTATTGACACATTGTCCTGTAACAGACCTGTGGGTTAGACTTGAGAGGAGCCGTTTGCTGTAAAAACTTCTTTATTCCTGCAAATTATTGGATTAAGTGTGAGTTTCAAAATAGTGTTAAAGACAGAAGAAAGAAGCCAACAACCAGTCAGAGTTCAAGCACTGGTGTTAGTCATGGTCCCAGAGTGCACACAGTTGATGGAGATTATAACGCTTACAGGCCATGGAAAATTAAAATCCCTCTATGTATACTGGTCCCTGCAGAACTCTAAATATTGTGCAGTACTGTTGGGTAAAGAGTTTTTTTGTTTGGTAGTGTTTTTATAAACCAGCTCTATACCATTTATTTTAACTGCGAGCAGAACAAAATAGAAAATTAAAATGTAAAATAAACTCCCTATTCAAGTCAGGTTTTGCCAGTTGGGGTCATTCCAAAGTTTGTTCTCTGTGGTTTTTTGCAAGGATGAAAGACTCTGTCATGGAGAGTTTTTGCCATTTGGTTACCAAATTAGATTAGCCTGACTCAGATATTACACATGAGAGATTCCCTGTGAGATCTCTCTCTGGAGACATTAAATGTAGGCACAGGGATTTACCATGTGCTGAGTCTGTTGCAGTTCAGGGCAGGTACCCATGCCAGTCATGGGACAAGAGTGCCACAGTGATTTCAGGTGTGTCCCTTCCTCCATGATACCCAGCTGCTGGCCCAGCTCTTTAGAGGCCTGATAAGAGTTGAAGCTGGTGCTGTTAACACAACTTTGAAATACTCAATAGAAGGGAACAAAAGATCAGGAATGAGGTTGTAAGAATCAACACCCATGTGAATGCTGGAGGCCAGGGAATTCAGCTCCATCTGGGGCAGCTCAGGAGAACTGCAAAAGAATGAGAGCCACTCTTTGAGGACTAATTTGGGATGCTGTTTAAGGTTATTCATTGTCCCTTGAAGGTTTTCAGGAGCTGCAGAATAAAGGTAAACTGTCCATCAGTTGGTTCAGTTCAGAGCTGTTGGTTGAGGTGGCTGTAATGGACTGGGAAGGAAGTGACAAAGCCCAAGGTTGCTATGGGGACAGTGTCAGGGAGAGTGAGAGTATTTATGTGGGTGCAGTAACTTCCTAAATGCCTCCAGTGTGACTCTTCAGAGATGAAGCAGCCTCAGTAGCTGTCTGCAAGATGCTGAGGTGCATTTTAGTGCAAAAATTATCTTGGAGCAAAAAGGAAATACTGGCACTGTTGACCTGACATGTTACAGATAATTTCCTTGAGCCTCTACAGCCTCCCCAGGAGAGTTTGAAAAGTGTGAGGTTCCCTGCACATTCCTGAGTCCTGCAGCATTTGGGAGGAGAGGGCAGAGTCCTTCTGGGACCAAGACTGTGCCAAGGGGGTGGACAGACAAAATGATGCTAGGAGGAAAGGTGCAAGGAAAGGTACTTCCTAGTCCAAAGAAGGTTTATGTGACAGGACAGTTCCTTTGTCACCCATGGGTAGGGACAGGACCACCCCAGGGAGATGCTGCACACTTGGGTTTGAGAATTGCAGCTTAGCCAGGGTGCCCAGAATGAAGGGGTGTGAGCAGGGCCCCATGTCCTCCTTTCATTTTTCAGAGCCACCAGCCCTGATGAAAGCAGAGGAATAAACAAATCCTTCTCGGTTTCAGTGGGTTTTTAAAATTTTATTTTAATTAAGAACAGTGAAGGAGGAAACACCTCTGCTTTCCTGTGGTTATACTACGTTCATCATTCCTCTCCCTCTCCATTTTTTTAAAACTTTGTTTGCAAGCATCATTTTTCCAAATGTAAAAATCCATTTTTAAACTTAGTAAAACTTTATGGGGGTGAATTTAATACGTTATACTATGACCCAAAATGCAGTAGGGAACATCTCTCTTTTTTAAATAGCCTTCTTCAAACACTTGATTCTCTTGTGACTTTTGCAATCAAGAGGATTATGTTGAGGCTTCTGGGCAGAGAGTCAAAATGATACCAAAGAGAAAGAATTTTAAGCTAAAATAGGATGGATGTATTTTCTGCTCTTTCTCCAGACTATTTTTCCCCTTGAAGAAGTCAGCTTCTTTCTCTGCTTTTATAAATGTTTCCTAAAAGCAAAAATGGATTGGATTGGATTGGATTAGATCAGTAGTTTTAACTTCTGTATTCTGCCTGAAGCTCTCACTAGGGAATTGAGGTCAGTGTGTTTAGAAGTACTGAAATGCCAAAAATCTGTTTGTTCAAAATTAGAAAATTATCTTTCTCCAAATGAATTTTTTTTTTACCTGAGACAGCTGAGAAATTGCCTAATGACCTAAAGCCTCCATGAAGAAAAAGTAGGGTGCAGAACAATTTATTGTGTGGGGTTTTTTGCACCAGTTACTTCCTGTGGTCAGTTTTGAGCTATTCAGTTTTTAAGGACAGTTCTGTAAAGCAAATTCATCTTTGCCAGAATTGAATTAGTTTGTTCTATGTTTCTTTGTACCACTATGTACTCTTTATTAAGAGGAAAATTGAAAATCCAAGACTTAGATTTTTGTCCTTCGGCCTTTCCCAAAAATTGTGGCTGTGGTCTCCAGCTATTCTCCTGACATGAGGAGAGGGCCCTGTCCCAGGAGAAGATGGTTTTTTCTTTCTCATTGCTGATGTGGCCTGTCAGTGACTTGCAGCTTTGCTGATCACTTTGTAGACAATTTCTACTGGCCCAACTACCCAATTTCATTCTGCCTGTCCCATTTAGGGTAAACAGCATGGGGTAAGAGTCATTCCTGACACTTCCAAAGCATCCTTCATCCACAGAGCCTTTATGGTTTGTATGTTAGATTGTATTGAGAGCCCAGTGAAGTAAAGGAGAATATTTCTATGCTTTCAGCAGGATTTGTATTCATCCAGCAGGCCCAGCCATCACTGGATATCAAAGTGAATAAATAAAGTGAGTGACTAACCCATTTTTCACTCTTTGTGCTCAGCTCAGCATAAAAATCTTCTCATTGACAGCAGGTGTAAGGTCTTGACTTCACCCACGTGGTTAAACAAGCTGTGCAGTGAAGTTGTTTGGTGGTCACCACAGCGTACAGACAGCTCCCAGCCCCTCTCAGGTGCTGTGCCTCCTTCTTAAAGCTGTGTCCATCAGAAACAACCCAGCTTCTGGGATACCTTATCCAGTGATGCCATCCATATCTCTGCAGTTTGAAAATGCCATGGATGGATTTAGATAGTGAGTGTTACCTTCTGAAAAGCATATGATGGTCTTGATAACATGACATTAGAGATTCATAAACTAAGCCTGTGTCAGTATCAG